AAGCCTGCAAAAGTAGTTGGTCCAGCAACAGAGCCGCATGAACGAGGAAGGAATGCAAACCGAACGGAGAGCGAACGAGGCTATAAAAGCAATATTTTACCTTGCGAGAGATTTGTTTACTTTCCTCGAGGAGCAATAAACAGGCTCTAGTTTGTTTGTAAACACAGCCAGAAGTTTGGGGCAGTGCTACTAATGAGATGCGTCCGATGTGCTGAAACGGCTGTGCCACTTTCGATTCATAGCTGGGGGGAGGTGGGGGTGGGGGTGGGGGGAGGTGAATCTATGTATCTTCCTGGTGTGGATTTATATGACTTCTTCCTCGAGAACTGTTTGTAGTTTCAATTCTTATGGATATGATTAAGTGGTTTTAACGTGGGAAAGATTGTTTGGAGTAAAAACTGTTTCACTCTCTCGTTCGTATATTATCTTTCTATGTATGTATGTATCTATCTATCTGTATATCTGTCTATATATCAATCTGTAAATCTATGTCTCTGTTTATCTGTATATCTATTTATCTATCTATCTGTGTACCTGTTTCTGTCTCTGTATCCCTAATTCTATTTATTTATTGATATTTATCTATCTAACTATATATATTAATATATATATATATATATATATATATATATATATATATATATATATATATATATATATATAAATATATATACCTATGTACCTATCTCTCTCTCTCTCTCTCTCTCTCTCTCTCTCTCTCTCTTTCTTTCTCTTTGTCTCTCTTTCTCTATATGTACGTGTGTGTGTGTGTGTGTGTATATATATATATATATATATATATATATGTATATATATATATATATATATGTACACATATATCTGCCAATATCCACAGATACAAAAACAATTTCCCGCAAACACCCAACGACAGAACCGAAGTGCCCAAAAGCTGCACAATATTTCTCCTCAACGTCTTAATAATGACATCCACACGCGAGAAACCATCAGCCCTTTTGAAGAGGCCAACAGGATGCATTACCAGCGCCTCCAGGATATTTCGGAGGAAGGGTGGGCGTAGGGGAGGGGCGTAAGGGGGGGGGGGGGGGGGAAGGAATCTGTGGAATACTGCGCAGAAACTTGGTTGGACTTGGCTACTGAAGAAAGTTTTTGTAGATGAGTTGTATTTGAAGGAAATTCGATGTTGTCTTTCTCAGTGAGGGTCGTGATTGTCGATGACGCTTTGTAACACTGGCGACGTGTCACTAAGTCGTAGAATTGAGGAAAGTGAGATGCGTCTTGAAGGATTCTCCCCCCCCCCCACTTACATCCCCGCTTCCCCATCTCCATCCTCTACCCTTCCCTTCCACCTCCATCCCATCTTCCCTCACCTCCATCCCCTCCCTTACCTCCTCCCCCCATCTCACCCCCTCCACCCCACCCCTTTCCCATCCCATCCCCTCCCCCTATCCCCACCCCCTCCCCCACTTCCACCCCCTCCCCTATCCCCACCCCCCTCCCCTATCCCCACCCCCTCCCCCACTTCCACCCCCTCTCCCTACCCCCATGCCCTCAGTGCCGCCAACTGGGTATCACGCAGAAGTGCTAGGCCATTCACCCTCGCGAAATCCCGAAACGAAACAGCATGACGCCCGTGGAAGCTCTCCAAGAGGGACAGGTCCTTAAAATAGATCACGCAAAATCGATAGATAAAATTAGAAGCGTCAGTCTTCCGGTAAGGAGAGGACGAACAGAGAAGAAAGAAAAAAAGTAATAAAATAGGGGGGGGAGTTTAGATATATTACAAGAGTGAGAAAAAAATATAAAAAAAAAAGTCTAAACATATATAAACATACGGAAGAGAAAAAATGAATTAGAAGGAAAGTCTAGATACATTACAAGGAAAAACATCAAATAATAAAAAGGAGACTATATATATTACAGGAAAGAAAAAAGAGGACAGAAGAAAAGACCAGACCAGTTACAAGACATTAAAAAAAAAAGTGGTCACCGATACCCAAGTGAGAATAGCGTTGGTCTCGCTTACACTGGAGTAGTTTGTTTACACTGAAGTCCTGACTCATTTATCCTGTCACGTCCTGACTGGTGAAGGACTTTTCCACGCCCGTTGCACAGACGGCCGCCGCCTCGAGAGTGTCCTACGCGACAGGAGGCGGAAGTTGAGGGGGAGGTGTGGAGGGGGAGGGAGGGAGAGAGAAAAGGAATAGTTGGAGAGAGAAGGAGATGAAGAGAGAGAGAGAGAGAAGGGAGAGGGAGGACGAGATGTTGAAGAAATAGAGAGAGAGGAAGGGGGAGATCGAGAAATGAAGAAATTGAGAAATAGAGAGAGACAGAGAGAGAGAGAGGGAGAGGAAAAATATATATATACCCATATATATATGTGTGTGTGTGTGTGTGTGTGTGTGTGTGTGTGTGTGTGTGTGTCTGTTATATATATATATATATATATATATATATATATATATAGAGAGAGAGAGAGAGAGAGAGAGAGAGAGAGAGAGAGAGAGAGAGAGAGAGAGAGAGAGAGAGAGAGAGAGAGAGAGAGAGAGAGGGGGGGGAGAAAGAAAAAAATACATAGAGAATACATAGACAAACACACAGACAGACACAAAGAAAGAACAGACAGAGAGAGAGAGAAAGACAACACCTGAGCAAAGGGTTAAACGACCTCAAAGGTGAAAAAGAAGTGTCTGGTGCACTCACCTGCAGTTCATATCACCGATAAGTTTATAGCGTGTGGAGTCAGACGAGAGTAAATATACAGCGCTGTCACTAAAGCCCGTATTCGTGCGTAAGAAGAGGCGTTTTAGAAATAGGATACCGAAATAGATTGGCAAAGGAAGGCTCATTTGCATACTGATAGCAAGCTGAGGATTTGTTTATTTACTGATATGAGAGAGAGACAAAAAAAATCGATTTCTTTCTTCGTACAAACAAATATTGTGATAATATAATCCTAGACTAAATGTTTGAGCTCGAGTCAAGCCAGAGAGAGAGAGAGAGAGAGAGAGAGAGAGAGAGAGAGAGAGAGAGAGAGAGAGAGAGAGAGAGAGAGAGAGAGAGAGAGAGAGAGAGAGAGAGAGAGAGAAAGGAAGAGAAAGAGAGAGAGAGAGAGAGAGAAAGGAAGAGAAAGAGAGAGAGAGGGAGAGCGAGAATAGGAGAGAGAGAGCAAGCATCAGCATCATCAACATCCATCGTGCGTGCATACGTGCGTACAACAACTAAAACAAAGGATAAATTCATGTGTTTGCGAGCACGAGTTCATTATCTCTCGTAGACAATTTATGGTGATCCTTAAAACAACTTTAGTTCTCTAATGAAGCAAATTAGAACGCCATAAAATCAAAGTACGAGACTTGCAAAAAAAGCTGCATGGATCCAGTTAATGCTTGATAGTATCACTGTTTACTCTCTACATTCTGAATAACCTCCCCGAACGTAGCGAGTTCAGTCACCTCTTCAGTAATTTGGTACATAGAGCGACGTAGACAGATCTGTACATAGGTAGGTAAACAGACGTACAGACTTAGAGATAGATACCTTGATAGATAGATAGGTAGATAGATAGATAGACAGACTGAATGACTGGTTTGTAGGTAGATAGATAGATAGACAGATTGAATGACTGATTTGTAGGTAGATAGATAGTTAGACGGGCAATAAAATAGATGTATGTGCGTATAGATAGAGAGATGGCTGAAAGATAGACATATAGATAGATGGCTGAAAGATAGACATATAGATAGATGACTGAAAGATATAGATAGATAGATAGATGATATAGAGATAGACGAACAGAAATATATATATATATATATATATATATATATATATATATATATATATATATATATATATACATATATATATACATATATATATATAAATATATATATAAATATATATATATATATATATATATATATATATATATATATATATATATATATATACATATATATATAATATATATATATATATATATATATATATATATATATATATATATATATATATATATATATATATATATATATAATATAGTAATTACCCCTTCTGACTGAAAACCTCTTACACATCATTACTACTGACTATTAGCTATCAGTTTTTGCAAAAAAAAAAAATAAAAAAAAATAGTAATCCCTAATGTGATAATAAAAAGCAAGATCTGAAGAGAGTAATTAGTTAAGGTAATCATTAGTAATACACAATCGATTGATTATTTCAACGAATTAATAGCCCCCATTTAGTCAAATCGAATCATTGGCGACAGATCATATAACACGACTATCAACAATGCCTGACGATATGATCAATTATCAACGATACTGCAGCATACGATTAACGCCATCGTATGCAGAGTTGATGTCCTTGCAAGCTCATCAATCAACAGTTATCTTGGACATCAGTGACTTTGCTTTCATCGGAAACTATTCAGTGCACTCGCGATGTGGTGAGGATTATTGGGGTTAAATGCCTCTTGGTAGTTGGAAGTTTAGTCTGGTACCGTTTGGTTAAATAGTTTGATAAGCATCGGGTCTTATCTGCTTTGTGGTTGTGTTTGTTTTTTTGTGTGTCTGGTGTGGAGGGTGTGGAGGGTGTGGGGTGGGGGTAGTGTGTGTGTGTGTTTATTTTTTTTGTTTGTTTGTTTGTTGGTCTGTGTGTGTGTGTGTGTGTGTGTGTGTGTGTGTGTGTGTGTGTGTGTATGTGTGTGTGTCACTTAATAGTATGATAAAGCTCATAAATCGGTCAGTAATTGCAGTACCATTAACACCTTTCATTTTGCAACTTTTTTGGTTGCATTTGCAATCCGACGTGATATGATATCGGATACAATTCGCTAAAGAAGTTTCCTCATTAAACACAATCATGACGTAAAACACTCACGTCAATAGATTAATGATCACTATGACACATCATTAAATATTTTTATTCCAACTCACCTTCATACATCAAACCATTATTATAATCTCAATCAGTATTCACTCAATAAACTAACTTCCTTTTTCTTCTATCGCCAGGCGGTGAACATCGAAGAGCTGACACTTCAGAGCGTCGTCAGGAAGAAGAGGGAGGCTAACGATGGACAGAACGGCGGAGTGCCTATCTACGAGCAAGCTTATGGACTCGTGAGTATGAGAGAGAAAAAAAATAAGATGTTGGTTTCATGAGTGGGTGGTAGGGGAGGGGGGGATAGGGGGAGGGGGATCTTTTTGTGATTTTCCTCTTTTTTTTTGTTCTTTGTTTCTTTCTCGCTTCTGCTCTATATTTGTCTATCTGTCTATCTCTCTGTCTGACTGTCTCTGTTTCTGTCTCTTTCTCTCTCTCGCTCTCTCTCTCTCTCTCTCTCTCTCTCTCTCTCTCTCTCTCTCTCTCTCTCTCTCTCTCTCTCTCTCTCTCTCTCTCTCTCTCTCTCTCTCTCTCTTCTCTTTCCTTATCATGCATCCTCTTTACTTCCTCCTTTTGGTCTTCTTCACCTTTTTCTACCTTACTTTCTCCTCCTCCTCCTCCTTCCCTCACCCTCCTTCCCTCTCTCTTCCTCCTCCTCCTCCTCCTCCCTCCTCCTCCTCCCTCCCTCCCTCCTCCTCCTCCTCCTCCTCCTCCTCCTCCTCCCTCCTCCTCCTCCCTCCCTCCTCCTCCTCCTCCTCCTCCTCCTCCTCCTCCTCCTCCTCCTCCTCCTCCTCCTCCTCCTCCTCCTCCTCCTCCTCCTCCTCCTCCTCCCCCTCCTTTCCTCACCTCCACCCCCCCTCCCATTGGGTAAGAAGTACCAAATCAAGCAGAAAGGCGGGGGAAGGGGAGGGGGAAGAGGGTAAAAGAGGGGGAGAGGGAAGAGGGTAGAAGAGGGGGGGAGGGGGAAGAGGAGAGAGAGGGGGGGTTGTAAAAGGGGTTAATCTCTCGCGAGACTTACGGCCGAGAAGGTCAATTTGCTAAGGCCAATTATGTCAAAGAATTAACCATCGGTATTGACCATGTCAGTTACCTTCCCCCCCCCCCATTTTTTTAAGATTCATTTCTTAACCTATTTTTCATCTTTTCATTTCTTTTTTTTTTACGATTAAAAAAAAAAGTTCGCTGGAGTCGAACGTAGAAGGATTAATGTCAATTAGAGATGCTCGGCTGGATTCCAATGGCCTATAATGGGAGACGAAAGTGGAAGGGCGTCCGGGGGTGATAATTTCACGGAATAGAAGGAGGTCCGAAGAATGGGTATGGGAGGGAAGGGAGGGAAATGCGAACGGGAAATGGTTAAGGCCTTATATTTGGAAATCATTTGTGACATACATATATGTGTGTGTGTGTGTGTGTGTGTGTGTGTGTGTGTGTGTGTGTGTGTGGGTGGGTGTATATATATATATATATATATATATATATATATATATATATATATATATATATATATATATAAAGAGAGAGAGAGAGATAGAGAGAGAGAGAGAGAGAGAGAGAGAGAGAGAGAGAGAGAGAGAGAGAGAGAGAGAGAGAGAGAGAGAGAGAGAGAGAGAGAGAGAGAGAGATGTGTACACACACACACACACATATATAAATATATACATATGCATTTGCATACACATATACATATAAATGAATGCATACAAGATACATAAACAAATAGACAGACAGATATATAAACAGATAGATAGAAAGACAAACAACATGCAACAGACACAGACATAACCTCCTTCATGAACAATTAACTAATCAACCCCCCTCCCCCCCCCCTCTTCTTCTCGCTCGCCCTCCAGCCGCCTCGCTCCACCGCCCAGGGCCTTCGTCTCTACGGTGACCTCCTCTCTGGTGACGTCAGCGAATCGCCCGAACTTGGCCCCGAGGTCACGGAGTCGCCCATTAAGCCGTATCACAG